AAAATATAAAATATAAAAATATAAAATTTAAAAGATAAAATATAAAATATAAAATGTTAAATGTTAAATATAATAATAGTAATAGTAATAGTAATAGTAATAGTAATAGTGATGATAATAATAGTAATGATAATAATGATAATAATGATAATGATGGTGATGATGATGATAAAAATAAAAATAAAATAAAATAAAATAAAATAAAATAAAATAAAATAATAATAATAATAATAATAATAATAATAATAATAATAATAATAATAATAATAATATTATCCAACCACTTCCAAACAACAAAAATCTTGGTGCTTTCAGGTGAGAAAATTGATTGTTTTGGATCCCCAGAAGAGGCTGACGGTTCAGCAGGCCCTGGAGCACCCCTGGGTCACCGGGAAAGCGGCGAAATTCGCTCACATGGACAGCACGCAGAGGAAACTGCAGGAATTCAATGCCAGGAGGAAGCTGAAGGTGAGGAGGGACATCTGTCACCTCTGGGGACCTGTGACAGCACCGGGACATCCCCATCCGCAGCCTGCAGGGCCTGGAGAGGGCTTTTAAAGGCAAAATTCTGCCAAACACCCTCTTGGCATCGCCAGGAAGAGTTTCCAGCTGTGCCAGGGGATTTTTGGGATGGATTTTAGGGAAAGGTTCCTCCCTCATGGAGCATTGGTGGCACTGAATTCCCTCAGGGAACGCTCCCGGCCCCGATGCTGCCACAGCTCCAGGAGGCTTTGGGCCAGGATTGTTGGGCCAGGCCAGGATTTTGGGCCCAACAAAACATTCCACAGTTTTCTGAACATTCCGCAATTCCCTAATTTTCTTTCTCTGTCCCAGGCTGCCATGAAAGCCGTGGTGGCCTCCAGCCGCTTGGGCAACCACGGCCACCACGACTGCTCCCGCAGCGGCCGCGCCCAGGGGGGACCCCGAGGCCTGGCCCGGCCCGCGGGGACCGGCGGCCCTGAGGCCAGCGCGGAGCTTGGCGTGTTCCAGAGTGACAGTGACCACTCCACCGTGACACCGGTGACCGTGTTCCAGAGTGACACTGACAGTGACCACTCCACCGTGACCCCGGTGGCCGTGCCAGGCGCCAGCTGTGACAGTTAGCAGGCCCGGAGCGGTGACACCGCCGAGCCTTGGCCGCTGCCGGGGGTCTCGAGAGCCCCGAGCCCGTGGTCTGGGCTCTGGACCATCCTCGTGTCGTGTCCTGTCACCCCCCGGTCGCTGTCCCTGTGTCTGTGCCCGCCCGGCTGAGGGGACGAGCCGGTGACTTTCTCTTCCCACTCCGCAGCACTTTGGGCCGCTGCGGCTTGGGGAGATCCCAAAAAACAAGGAGCAAAGAGCAGAAGTCAGGATTTCTCCCACATTTCCCTGCAAAGGCAGCCAGCTGTCTTTAAGGGGTTTCTGTAAATAATCCTGAACGTTTGTCTTTAAGGGGTTTCTGTAAATAATCCTGAACGTTTGGCTTTTGTTTTGGATTTTGCTGTGGGGTTGCTGCTGTTTTAGGAGGGGTTTTAGGAGCCTTTGACTCCAAATGTTCGATTGTCCCCAGAGAACAGCCCAGTTCTTCCCTTGTCATTCCCAGGCACAACCACGTTGTGGTTTTTTTGGGTGTGTTCCCCACCTTCAGCCTTGCTGTGGATCCCTGCTGGTGCTGGTGGCACTGGGAATGCTGGTCCAGCCTCCCCTCAGCGTTCCAGGTCAGGATTTACATGATTTTAACACAGGAATTTCCACAATTCTTGAATATCGTGAGATTTTGCCACGTAACTGCTGTTCCCTGAGAAAGGACGATGAGTTTGTATCTTTCTTAATTTTAATTTTTTAATGAAATCAGCAGGAAAACTTCTTGAAAAGGATTTTTTTAAAGGCAGGAAACAGAATAAGCATTTTCAGATTTTAATACAGAGCAAGTGAGTGGACAGGAAAAGCCATATTCCATGTGGGAATTACGGGGTGCTGGTGGGATCCTGCCAGGTTTGAGCCCTGAGGCAGCGACCATGACCTGCACCCTCACATTTTGGGCTTAGAACTGTGTGTTCAGGGTAAAAATCCCACCTGGAGGAGAATAAATTCATACAGGAGATTCATTCCACCAGGATGGGGGCAGAGAATTGAGCAGCTGGGACAGGAAGGGGGGAAAAAACCGCCAAAATTGGATTTTTTGTCAAAGGTGACGCAGCGGTGATGGACACGAGGGTGACAGAGCAGGGTCAGGAGGTTGAGGTGAGAGCAGGGGGAGGAAAGAAGGATTTTGGGGTTTATCTCCAGCACAAACAGAAATGAAAACAGCTCTGAGTCAGGATCCACCCTGGAGCTTGGTGGGATTTTGGGAACCAAAGACAGCAGAGAAATAAAGCGTTCAAGAGGGCTTTTAATGGGGGAAAATATATCATGGCTTGACCAGAGCTGCACTTTTTTAAACTCGAGTTGCTCTTTCGTGGGGAAGCAGCTGCCCAGTGAGGTGTCCCAGGGGGAAATGAAGCCGCGGATCCGGTGGGACTCTGCAGCACAGGGAAATTCTCCCTTTTTCTTTGCATTCTTTTGCAGGAGGGGAAGTTTTTCCCTCTCCTTTTTCTAATCCTGAGGGCTAAGCCTCGCAGGGTGCTCAGCTCCAGAGTCCATCCCGTCCTTGGATGTCCTTCCATCTCTGTGTTGTGTCTCTGGCGGGACCTGAACTCCACCTCGTTGTTTCCTAACCCAGGTTTTAAAGACTATTTTCTATCTTTTGACACAAAATGCTGATTAAAGCCCCTCGCAGGACCAGGCTGAGCACCCCCAGAACCTGCCAAGCAGGGAAAAGGTTGATTGAGAGCTGCAGGATTCCAAATCCTGCAGGAAAATGGGAATTAACAAATCAATTACACGAAGGATCTCTAGGATACTCCAGAAGGAGGACAGAACCAGAAGAGGCGTTTGTCTCATTATTATTCCACAGGTATCCATATTTAAAGATAGGAAAAATGCACTCCTGAGAGCAGAGCCCAGGGAGGAGCATTTCGCTCTGTTGCTGTTTGCAGAGTGTGTTTGAGTGACTGCTTCAGTGTGGTGGTGACAGTTCTGACAGCCAGGTGTTTATAACCAAGTAGAGACAGCGAATAAAGCATCAAATCCCAGAGCGTGGGCTCCGTTTCCGCTGTTTTTTCTCGGAATGCCGGGGCCAAAGGTTGGCATGGAACGGGTTGAGTTGGAAGGGAATTTAAGGATCGTCTCGTCCCACCCCCTGCCATCCCCAGGGACACCTTCCAGTGTGTCCCAGCTTGCTCCAAACCCCAACCTGGGGCAATTCCAGGGATCCAGGGCAGCCACAGCTTTTCTGGGAATCCTGTTCCAAGAATTTGGGTTTAGATCCGCCTCGGATTGACCCTGCGGGGGTGCCAGGGGCACACGGAGCCAGCCGGGCTCGGGAAGGTGTCCCTGTCCCTGTCCCTGTCCCTGTCCCTGTCCAAACCATCAAATGACGTCACCGTTCGCGACAATGACGTCACTCTCTCAGTTGCCATGCTGCACGCCCAGACAGAGCGTGGCTTTCCCAACTCTCCAATAGAAAATGAGCTGGGCGTGGCTAAGACCGAAGCGTGCGCTCTGATTGGTCGAGCCTCGTGTTTTGGCGGCGGAGGGGAGGGCGGGGCGCCAGACGGCGCTCGCTGATTGGTCTGGGGGGCGGTGCTGGGCGGTCCGCGCGGAGCATGCGCAGACCCTCATGTGGAG